CACACCAACCTTTGTTCACCAAGCCATAGTACTGACCACTACTCCCAACACACAGTCATACCATGCTGACCACTGCTTTCCGCACACCAAGCTACACCACACTAACCACTGCAGCATGCACACCAAGCCACAAAACACTGACCACTGCTCCCTGCACACCTAACAATACCACACTAATCACTGCTCCTACTTCACCTAAGCCATACCACATCAATCACTGCTTCCGGAAACACCAAGCCATACCATGCTGACCACTGCTCCTAGCACACCAAGCCACACCACATCAATCACTGCTTCCGGAAACACCAAGCCATACCATGCTGACCACTGCTCCTAGCACACCAAGCCACACCACATCAATCACTGCTTCCGGAAACACCAAGCCATACCATGCTGACCACTGCTCCTAAAACATCAAGCCATACCACAATGACCTTTGCTCCCCAGCAAACCAAGCCATACAACGCTGATGACTGCTCAAAGCACACCAAGCCATACCACAGTTACCTCTGCTCCCAGCACACCAAGCCAAACCAAACAGACCACTGCTCCCAGCACACCCAAACCATACCATGCTGACCACTGCTACCAGCATACCAAACCATACCATGCTGACCACTGCACCCAACACACCAAACCTCACCATGCTGACCACTGCTCCCAGCACACCAAACCGTACCATGCTGACCACTGCTCCCAGCACACCAAACCATACCATGCCGACCACTGCTCTCAGCACACCAAACCATACCATGCCGTCCGCTGCTCCCAGCACACCAAACCATACCATGCTGACCACTGCTCCCAGCACACCAAACCATACCATGCACACCAAACCATACCATGCTGACATGACCACTGCTCCCAGCACATCAAACCATACCATGCTGACCACTGCTCCCAGCACACCAAACCATACCATGCTGACCACGGCTTCCAGTACACCATACCACACTGCTACCAACTACTGCTCCCCAACACAAACTAAGACATACCACAGTGACTACAGTTCCCTGCAAACCTAGGCAGGTTGGATGTTCACTTATAAGAATAGTATAAATTAGGAAATACTAGATGGAGCAAAAGGAAATTAGGAAACATCTCGTCTTCCTTGCTTATTATGACTAGCTCCGTAATTAAAACAAAAAATAAAAAACACACATACCTCTATGTAACAAATTCAGAAAGAGGACCCATAAAATTAAACTATATAACTAAAAGGCAAACATTTTTTTCAAGTTTTGGATACAGTGGAGAGGGATAAAAACACCTGTGAGGTTTTCATTGCTGACTGTGCCCCTGTTAAGGAGATCCACCTTCTTCCATTTGTCCTATTTACCATTGTCATTGAAAGTTAAAAAAAAATCCAAATTGTGGGTTGCCCCAGACAACAAAGGGGAAATCTTCCAATAGGGACACTGGTTCTGGTGACCTAGGTGGCCCCAAGGAATTCCCTTAGTTTGTGGGGATTTGCTCTCACTTCCTGTTTTGGCTATGGGACAAGAAGGTAAGGGAAATCTCCCCAAAAGGGATACAGATTACAAAAAGAAAAAAAACTGATAGGGGTTATAACCTTCCCATTCCCTATCCAGAAGGAAAAAAGAAATAGTTCTACTTTAAGGCAAATCTGTCATTAAAATGACAATCCCATTTCCCCCTCCCCGCACCTTGCAGTGTCTAAACTTTCTACACAGCAACATTACCTGCCCCGATCAACATTACTCAATACTATCTGTAGTGCTGTCTGCCTACCAACCTCCATGACAGAGTTCAGCCTTGGAAATGGATGCTGATGCATGAACACTGCTTTGATGAAGGGCACAGAAAGTCTGTATGAGAATGACAAATCTACTCGTCATAACTCCATGACACACAAGATCAATACAACATGATTCAAGGTCATTGGATTCTCTTTATGGGAATGTCAACATATAAAACATTTCTATTCCCTGGAAGCAGGGGGGGACAAAACCTAGGCATAGATGACTCAAATCTCGGCGGGCTCAACAGGGACCAGGCAACCGGCCTGTTGGGTTGTTTTCATGCAATCACTGCTGGCGGCTATAACTGGAAGGCTCCCCATCGGCAGAACACAATAGCATGGCGGGAGGTATTGCCCAGTCAACACTGACTGTGATGATGGGAGAGTCTATGCAATTTTCTTTCCTTGCTCCAGGGGTGAAAGGAGAGAAAATTGCTCATCTATGGGCTGATTTAGAACCTACCACTTGGGGAAAAAAAAACAAAAACAACAACTTTAAAAGGCAAGGTTGGGATTAGCAGCATCACCAGCTATTTGGGGGTATGGTTGACCCATCCCTAATAACAAGTCACACCTTGGTACTTGGGTGAGAATGCCACTACATGCCTATGTTTTCCCTATTTGCCTTTATTCCCCATCTACTTTTCCTTCTTACAAACGTCCCTCTCTTTTTCTTTTCCTTCTTTCTCTCTCTCCTCCACACCAGCACACAGACCCCAGACTGACAAATCTGCCCTGGAAAATGAATCCTGCAGACTGCTAGAACACGTGGACTTTTGTTGACATGCATAACCTGTGTGGCATATCTTAACTCTATATAGTAGCCTAAGGTGATGTACGGACTGCTACATAGATGGGGGCCTGGACTACCATTGTACCTCTATCTTAGATTTTTTTAAAAAAAAAAAATTTTTAATGACTAAAGTTTATGTTGTGCAAAGATATCATGAAACAAAAAAGCATGCTCCATATCTATACCTCCTATCATCTTATGATAAGCATTAATATTGTGTTGCCAGCTGCTGTACTCCATAGCTTGCCTCTTGTTACTATGCAATTACTGCCGGTCTAACACTCAAAGTACACCTGTCACATCAGCTTAAATTAAGCTTCCAGCTGTACAACAGGCCACGTCTTATTACCAGGCCTGCATCCTCTATGTGCCGATACAGCCCCCTGCAACAATCTGGAGGAAAAGCGGACTTCTTCGAAGTCAGGGGTTGCATATTTCCAAGCACCCTTTCCCACTCCCCATGACTGCGCTTAGGCTATGAAAAATGTCCCTGGATCACTGAGCACTGTTCTGTAGGAGGACAAGGGTGCTGAAGGTAAGATGTGGCCCCAAAAGGGTGTTCTACAGCTTGAGGCTTATTTTGATGTAAAAGACAAATGAAAAGTGTGTTTTAACTCCAGTTTTACTAGAGGATTTAAATATTCTTAGAGTATATTCATTAATTTTTTAAGCCATACATACGATATGAATGTCTACATAAATATTATATATTTTTGCCATTTGAATACCGAAGGTGGCCTTTTTATTTAAAGCCCCACTCTGGGCAAAGTAATAATAATCTCCCACTACTCTCTTCAACTTCCTCTAACCCATTTTGCAGGGATTTGGGTTTTTCTTACTTGGTGAAGCAAGATATAATCACCTAAGTCTGCCATCCAGATCCTTTATCACAGTTTATCTCAGTATAGGGGGACTGCTAAGCAACTGCATCTGAGACTGCCAGCCCCCTACAGTCCTTTCCACTGACATCACTCCTTTTATGACCCTGCTGATTGACAGCCAATCAACTCACTGGAAGTAAAGAAAGAGAGAAGACTTGGGACCAGAGTGTCACATGACAGCAGCTTTCGGTAAACAAAAAAATTTTTTTTTTCTCTAACCAGCGATCAATTGAACAGGGGTAATAACCCAGAGAGGGGCCTAAAGTGGAAGGCAAGTCAAAATCTAACTGAGCTTAAAGCGGAGTGCCACCCAAAAGGGGAAGTTCCGCTTTAATGCTTTGTCCCCCACTCCCCAAAGGTGCCAATCCTTAATGGGGAGTGGGGGGACAGCAGGGGGGGGGGTAATTTAACAGGTACCCACGCCCACTGCAATCGGAAATTGTCCTCCCTGTAGTCTTCTGGGAAGTTGTCCTCCCCCTCCCTCCCTGTGACAGGTCCCAGAAGACTACGGGGCCATTCACAAAGTGCAGCACACTTCTCGTCCATGCGCAGTGGCCTCCCAGCTGTGAAGCCGCAAGCGGTCACAGTCGGGTGCCCACACTGAAGATGCTGGCGCCAGGAAGAGAAGACGGCCTATGAACCCAGTGGTGGTGAGGACACTGCTGGACCGAGGGACAGGTAAGCGGCTGTATTTTAAAAGTCAGCAGCTACAGTTTTTGCAGCTGCTGACTTTTATTTTTTTTTTTTTTCAGCTGGAATTCCACTTTAAATCTACTCCCACTACCATTCTAAACCTATTCTATGCTTACCTACTCTGAAGTCACTGCGGTCTGGTCACATAATCTCTACACTGCCAGCTTTAACGTAGAGATCGCCAACAATGGCTGAAGAGACTGGGCGATGATGTCACCCATAGGCTTATTATTGGGCATGCGTTGTCGGCTGTCCCTTCTCTACACGGAGTCCAGCGCTGGGACCCGATCATGTGACCGGACCAGAACAACTTCAGAATAGGCAAGTATAGGCATTTTTCCTTTTACAGGGTAGATAGAACATGCTTAGAATGGGGGTGGGAGTAGATTTAAGCTTTGTTAGAGTATCATTGCCTTCCACTTTAATTACGATACGGTTCTCCTATTTTGAACAATATCTCACCTTTCACAGGATTAGGGTAATCAAACAGAAAATTGTTGATTAGCTGCATTGGATCACTGTGCTCTTTGTGCATATCAATTACTCCAACATTTAAAGGACAACTCTATCCAAAGAGGTCATTTCAGTTTTGTGCAGGCTGCACCAAGTTACGCCTGTCATCTTAGAGTGTTGAGTGGCGAGATTACCAGGCATCTCTGCCCTCTGACTATAAGGCCACAGCTAATCAAAGGAGAGAATTCTACGCAAACCACCCACATTTACCAAGCTTGCCCCTCAGAAATATAAAAAAAAAAAGAAAAGCATGGGCAGTTTGGAGGTATGATTACATGGATTACAGCCTGCCCTCTGTTGATTTGAACTCAATGAGAGGTTACAATCAGTGGCCACAGGAGGGGAAGAAAATCCTTACCTGCACTCAACACAGATTTTTCTTCCACTATTTTGGTGACAAAGGTGTCTGGATCCATGCAAAAATCGCTGCAGCCCTAGAAGGTGAAGAAAACAACAACAAATTAACGAAGCCCAGCAGTTGAAATAAATGTCATTGGTATGTAGCAATATGGACTGTGACAAAAAGAAGAATAGCACTCTGGCAGAAATTAGGTGTGATCATTTCTTGTATTCTATAGGATGGAACTGAAACAAATGTGTGCAAAAGTTAAAAAAAAAAAAAAAAAAAAAAAAAAAACAAACAGAAAACAAAACAAACCCCCCCCCCCAAAAAAAAAAAAAAAAAACAAAAAAAAAAAAAAACTTAATTTTTTTTTATTTATTGCTATATAATACAAATGGACTGCTATTTGATAAAATACATATGATGTGCAATTCAGCATAGCAAAAATTTAAAAAGTATATAAATCCATTTCAATTCATATACTGACAAAATACATCAGTACAGTATCTGTATTGTGAAAAGTACGTATGTTTATGAATATTGGTCATGGCTTGAAGAGTTGTGGTGGACGGGGCAACCATACCACATTCAAAGTCACTTAAATCCCCTTTTTTCCCCCATCCTGATGCTCGGTTTGAACTTCAGCAAGTTGTCTTCACCACGTCTAGATGCCTAAATGCACTGAGTTGCTGCCATGTGATTGGCTGATTAGCAATTTGTGTCACCAAGCAAGTGAACAGGTGTACCTCAAAAAGTGGCCAGTGAGTGTAGACAGTACATGTATGTGACGGGAGTGACGGAGTGACTTTGGGTAGGGGGCCCATGGAACTCGCTTTGGAGGGGTGGGGAGACCCCTGTCTCAGCTCCCCATATACTTCTTATGTGTAAGTTACCCTGTGCCTGTTAGGGGTGCAGGGTGAAATGTCCTGATATTGTGTAGACATGTATAGGCGATAGGTGGGGGTTGTGGATTGTTTGGTGTTATGTGATTGCATCCCATTGTTCTATTGTGTGTCTTGCTTGGGAGCAAACTATTATGGGATGCATTTGTTTGTGTATTGGCTTGGTGGGGGGTGTCTGCTGATGTGTTTCTTGTTGCTAGATTTGGTTTGCCCTGCCCTGTGTCCTTATGCAGGGAGGGGAGAATTGTTCCCTTGAATGTATATATCTTGTGTATGTGTTGAATGAAACCAGGAAATGAACTGCTTTATTTTAAGTCTGGTGGTCTCTAGTCTTGTTTGGTCAGCGGTGGGGTCCATGGTCGGTGTTCAGACAGGGAAGCGGGAGTTTAACGGAAATACCGAAGTGTAGTCGGGGTCCGGTTCCATTACAATGTACAACAAACAAATCCAAATAGTACTCCCCTATCTATAACCAATTACTTTATTCCATTATTTGAGTGAACTAAAATATTGCAACTGCAATCAACCACCAAGAAGTAATGAGACGAAGCACAGTACTCACCACTGCCACTGCAAGCTCCACACCCATGGATGCCCAGCTTATAATCAGTGCCATGACTCCAAGGAAACATACGCTGCAAACAGGAATTAATAAAAACAATGAATATCACCAAACATTATGTATTTCATTGTACATTTCTATAAACAGTTTATAAAAAAAACTAGGAGTTTGTGGTGCTAGCCATTTCTTTGCCACCAGGAGTACCGTGCCCTCTCAGTAGATGAACTCTTGCACCCTGTAAGCAAGATGTTTGAGAAGTTTGATATTGCACAGATATATGGACACTATGGGAATTATTTCCGAAAGCTGGAGAGCGCAAAATCTGATGAAGCTCTGCCTGGAAACCAATCAGCTTCCAGCTGTTATTGCTGAAGCTTACGTAAACAAGCTGAAGCTAGAAGCTGATTGGCTGCTATGCACAGCTGCACCTGATTTCGAGTGCTCCAGTTTTAGTAAATCTCTCCCAATAGGACTACATCCCGATAATAATTAATAAGCCATTAAAGGATGAGAGCGCAGAGCATGACCAGAGGATGACATCATTGGTCTTTCACTGTGCCAAATCCCATTACCACGTATTGTACACACCCTGAAGTAAGACAAAACATTTCCTTCACCTCTCCTGACCAAACCAATCCTTCACGAGTGTCTCACACACTCCCCCTTCCAGATACCGCAGCTCAGTGGGAGGGTATTTTGTAACAGAGGCATTTCTGTCAATCCAGAAAGCAGTGGGCAGGACTAGGTATGGCAAAGTGCTGATTGACAAGCTACACATTTGTGAATCAGCAGCGACAAGGATGATGCCAACACTACCTGCAGCATTTTTCATTGCATTGTAGGACATGCAGGCCTAGCTTCACGAGAGTGTAAACGATTTCATGGCGGTGATCACCGACTTATAGTGAGAATGCGATATTGCATCGGGCATTTTTACACTGACACTTTGTGGGAACCAGTGATAATAATACAGTGATTAGTGCTACAAATATGCACTGATCACTGTACTAATGACTGGTTAGGAATGGGTTAACATCTATGGTGATCAAAGGGTTAAGCGTGCCTAGCTATGTGCTTGGTGTACACTAGATGGCGCTGGTACAAGGGGAAGTGATGCATCATGTTCCTAGTTCTGCAGGGACACATGATGAATCACTTTCCCCTGACACCACTGAGCTGTGCCTATGTAAACATAGGCACAGCTCTGTTCTTGCTCCCTGCTCACAGATCGGCTTCTGCTGTGACAATTCACACAGAACCTTCCGCTCCCCAGTGAGGTGGAAGTGCAAAAAGACGTATATATACACGTGATTTTGCACAGGAAAGCCACTTTGCAGCAGTAAAGCTACAATGGTCTGGACTTCAAAAGGTTAAGCTTTGCATAACCATAAAGTTTAAAAAAAAAGAAATCACTGACTTAAAGTGGAACGTTACTGAAAAAAAGAAAGTTCCCTTTATGCTCTGAATTCAGCAGTGCAGCACTCTTGCCACCTCTTCACAGGAAGTTGCATTAGGTAAATGTCACTGGCAAGACTAAACAGGTATTTGTGTGACTTTGAGGGGACTAAGAGAAAGTTGTAGGTTTCAGAATTTAGTGCTGAAGCAAACTTTTTTTTATTTTTAAATGGAAAGCCATAGCTCTGTACCTGTACGTGGTATCATCCACCAGGCTCTCCTGCCTATCATATAAAACAATTGTCTCCAAACTTTGGCCCCTTTCTTGCTCTCATCTGGCCTTTGGAGCACTATTCACTATTGATGGGGCAATATTCCTCCCACTGACCAATGATCAATGATGGGGGCACTATTCTTCCCACTGACACCAATGAATGATGGGGCAATATTCCTCCACTGACACCAATGATGGGGCACCAATGATCAATGATGGGGCACTATTCTTCCCACTGACACCAATGATCAATGATGGGGCACTATTCCTCCCACTGACACCAATGATGGGGCACTATTCCTCCCACTTGTAGTAAATTATCTGTAATATATATATATATATATATATATATATATATATATTTATTATTTATTTATATTGAAGCACATACTGTTCATTCTCGACCGGCCAGTGACAAAACCACTTTACAAATCAAAAGACCCTGTGCTATGTTAATTTTATGCAAGGTCACCTGGTATTTGGGGAATAGCCTGTTTATCTGATTAGACATTCCAAAGGGTACATTGTATATGTGATTTGACCATACAAGAAGTATTTATTGATGGTAATTAGACTCCAGGGGGTAATTCATGGGAAATGGTGAACAGGTGACTTGTTTACCTGGGAAACACTATAGTGACCCTAATTTTTATTTATAGTAAGTCTTTTCATGTAAGATCAAAGTGGCCAATCAGAGTGCTTGCCATTGTACTGAATGGGGAAAACGTGTATATTAAGACAGAGCACAAGTCAGGATGTGTGGGACAGAACACAGGTAAGGATACAGGTGACAGGACACAGGAAGGTTCTCTAATGATTGACTGTCATCTCTTACTTGTCTGTACCTCAGCTGGAAAAGGAGTTTTTCTTCCTGTCATTGATATGGGAGCACAGGTATAGATCATAACTCACATTGCATGCATGGAAGCTACCTAGGTATATATTATAGATTGGACATATGCTGGATGGTGTAGTATCTCTATGCTTGATATGAAGTATCTTGAATGGGACTTTGAGAGTTGTTGTTCATCATTGTAATACTGACAAGTATTCAGCTGGATTTCAGTCATCTGCAACAAATATCTGTATCCGAATAAATGCATCTCTCTGGAAAAGGACTAATGGTTGCTGCGGGAATAGTACATATATAAAAATACACCCTGGTCATCCGGAGAAGGGCTGGATCGCCATGTTTGATTTGAAGTATCTTTTAATATTTACAACTATTCACCCGGATGTATGTTCTATGGATTGTTGTTGAGTCCTTTAAATCTTTTCGGCAAAAGAATTGTTGTGCTAAATAATTTGAAGACAACACCACTGACACCAATGATGGGGGCACTATTCCTCCCACTGACACCAATGATGGGACATGGTTTACAGCCACTGACACTGGGGCATTTTCTGTTCCCACTGGTCACTGGCAGGACATTATACTGGCCCTTTTTTTTCCATTTTAGAAGGTTTGGAGTCCCCTGATAAAAAATAACAAATTTTCACCCAGCCTTAACACAGGAATGTGCAAACTGCATCTACAGTGCCCTAAAAAGTTACAAATTAATAAAAAATGTATGTACTGGCTGAATTTGCTGACGGACTTAAAAGCGGAAATTTAATCTGCTTCCTGCCCTCATCAAAACATGCCACTTCAGTTTTAAATAAAACCTTTTACTCCATACCTTATTTTAGACTCAGTGACATTACTAGGTTTCTTCTCTATGCAATGCAGGCATATCATGGCTAGTGGGAGGGGCTGGCAGGATGCTGTACATAGCTTTGAGAAAACATCACAGCACCCTACCTCAGTACTCCTCTTAAGAGTCCTCAGTCCTGATGTAAGCAGCGGGCGGCTTCTTGGGAGGAGTTATGCAAATATTTAATTGCCTTGATGGGTGGATGTCAACTGAATGAGTGCATTTGCATACAGATCATCCTAGGTAAAGCTCACAGCCTCTGATTCAAAGAATTAATAATCCACTGAATAAAAGGGGCAGGTCAGGGGCAGTTCAGCTGAGATGAAAGGAGCTAGATGCTGGATGTTCTCCATGCCACAGCTTCTAAGGCACGCTGTGAGATGTTTACAGTGTGCAGGGGAAACAGAGTAAGCAATCTGAGTATAGGAGATGAGCCTGTACATTTCTACTTCATTTACCCAAATGTAGGATGAACTTTTACTTCTTTGCCTTTATGTAACTTGGTGGGAATGGTTCCCCCGCTCCCCCCTGCTATTTGCCTCATGTAACCTGCACTCTGTGGAAGCCTCTACACAGGCACCCAGGATGTAACAAAAGACTGAAGACACTTCAAAGTACAGCGAGGCTGTCACTGAATTCATAATGAGGATTAGATACTTTCAAGAGCTTTAAGCTCAAAGCCAAGTGGAAAAAAAAAACCTCAAAGCTTCAGGGCAAAGGTAAACCAGGGCTACAGGGACTTCCTGCGGTGTAAATTCTGACTTTACCAGGGTGGGGAGAATCTACAGCGTGAAGACAGATTTTTGTATGCTAGGAGAACGCCGGGTCCAACAACTGTTAAAGGGGAACTCCAGGTATAAGCCAAATGGATGTTCTTTATGGCCAAGAACTGGAGTTCTTACTTCTGAACAGTTCTATTCCAAATGTCTTAAAAAGAGTTTTAGTAACTGGCTCCATTAACTACTTGACCTCCGGAAGATTTACCCCCCACCCCCCCCTTCCTGAATGGGCCATTTTTTGCAATACGGCGCAGAATTATTTAGCTGATAATTGCACGATCATGCAACACTATACCCAAATTACCCCCAAATTAGGTTTCTTTTGGTTATGTGATCACCTCTGTGTTTTTACTTTATGCGTTATATATAAAAAAAAAAAAAAAAAAAAAAAAAAAAAAGGTTTAAAAAAAATGTTTATATATATATATATACACACACACACACACACACATATACACACACACACAATATATAGAAATTTTTTATTTATTTTATTATTATTTTTATGTGTTTAAATATAAAAACATTTTTTCCCAAAATTGCCTTTTTTTGTTTGTTTATAACGCATAAAGTAAAAACCGCAGAAGTGATCACATACAACCAAAAGCTCAATTTGTGGGGGAAAAAAAGGACATAAACCTAATTTGGGTATAGTGTAGCATGACCGTGCAATTATCTGTTAAAATAATTCAGAGCCGTATTGCAAAAAAATGGCCCATTCAGGAAGGGGGGTAAAACTTCCAGAGGTCAAGTAAGCCTAGGTTCACATACGTGTGGCTCCATATATCGTATGTGATTCACACAGGAACCTCACCGCATTCCTGTGCAAATCAAATCCGATTTTGTGCGCGATGCGATCAGAGCCATACATTTTGTAGGGCTCTATTCGCACCTCACCCACACCAAAAATGTGCAGAACCATTTTTTTGAT